CTCAGTTATGACTCTCAGGAATGGTCTTTGTCGAAAATTGCTTTAAAAATACATTTCTATTTGAATATTTAACAAAAAATGTGAGAAATGATTTCTTTTGGCAGAGTTCTGTGTTGTCTTCGAAATATACGTAACATGTACTACATAATAAAATGACGGGAAGCTGTCCGCTTCCAACGATCGCCATTCTGTCCCAAGGTGAAATTCGGAAATTCGACAAGTTCTCGCGCCATTCGCATTGAACTACAAATTTTCATTCCACCCTACAAGGTAACGCTGAGTGTTCGTGCATTGCTATTAAGGACAGTACAAAGTCTGAATTTCGCTATGTATGGTGCCACAACGCCCCCCACCCTCAAAAAAAAAAAACAAAAACAGCGATGCTTATAGCTCGTCCAACTGCTTCTTTAAAGACCACTTTACGCAATTCACTAAAGCGCACGAGTTGAGTAGAATGCTGAAGCTGAATTTAGCAATTGTAATGTTCTGGTTTGGCGCTATGTCTCACAAAATAGGCATGGCTGTAAAAAGCATATATTAGAAAATATATGGTGCGTAAACACTTTGACCGGTGCTGCTATCCTCACCAACCAATTGCTTAGAGAGAAAAAAAAAAGAAAGACAGCGAAGCTACATGGCCAAACATGGAGGTATATGGGTGCTGCGACATTTCGTGGCTTCAGTAGACAAAGATTCACAATATGTTTCGCATAGAGCGATACAATGAAGAGAGGAAGAAATAAAATACATAATTTGATTTTAACAAATTAAATGCTTGAAATGTTCCTACTGTTACAACAATGGCTTATTAAAAACACACCATTTAAGTGTTGCAATGCTTTTAAAAATAACGCCTTCATATATGTAAGAAGCCAATCTCTCATTTTCGAAAATGTAACCTATGATAATGTTGTGATATGCGTAGCAACAGCAGTTATGTATTCACAATGGAGCTTAGTCAGTAATGTTTTGAATTTTCCATCTAAAAGGATTTCTCTATTAGCTCATGAAGAATAAATCTAAATAAATGAACGATTTCAGCTGGCGGCTTCTCGCGGGAATTTACAGATTTGTGTGAAAACCTAGTACAACTGCTAGTAAAATCTAACAAAGCAGAAACGCCTTTCAACCAGAAAGCGAGGAAATTTAATTTTGTGAGAGAGATTGGCGGTGAATTTTAAAAGAACGGTAAGCAAGTGCGACCATGTCACTGGAACCGAAAACACTGACCGAACCTTCAGTTAAGTGAAGAAAATGAGAAGGAAAATTGAGTCTGACCAAAGAGCGTGGCCATAAAAATCGTGATGACTGAAGAAATCATATGCATTTCATCCGCGAAACATAAAAGAAACGTGTGCATATATATGATGCTTTCTTCACCACTGTTTTGTTCCCGTTCATGAAATGCATGATGAAATATCCACACAGAAACGTGCAGTGCCATATTCAGCTAGACATGCAAGCTGTGGTCAAAGTTGTGCGATGTCGATAGCAATTTAATAGCATCTGATTCTTCTGCATATTGCGAATTAAAAAAAAATTCTTTCCAGACAACAAAAAACCGATGGGTGGTGCCTGTTTGAGCAGGTTTGGTTATGCCAGTATTTATAACAGTTGTTTTTGGAAGGCAATTGAAACGTGATTTAGTTATGCTCACGCTCGAATCAGTTCGTTGAACAGGGACCTTCATCAAATTGAGAAAGATATTTTTCAATCTGTTGAAGTTTATAACTATAACGCAGTGACGCAAAAGCTACCGTGCTATATGCTGTCAACACACGCCTCCTTCCTTAAAAACACCGGACATAGAGGCTCCCCTGTTCAGGTGATTCAGGCCAAGTAAGTGGTCGCGTGAAGCTTTGTCGACTGCACTTATTCTAATAAGAGAGAACGAATGACTGTGCAAACAGTCTTATCAAGAAAGCTGTAGCCAGGGTTGTTTCTCGCATAAACAATGCATAAAACACCGAAACCAATCAGCGCAGTGTTCCTTTGGGAGACTTCACAAGGAGAATGCAACAACGTCGCCTCCATAGATCTTCCGGTACGTGAAGAGGCTACGGACTGTTGGGTATACCTTGTTTCATGCACGCGCACGACATACAGCGTTGTTTAACTTCTACTATGGTCATAACTATAAGGCGGCTACATTTAAGACGATTGTGTTCGAACGCATATGCACACAGAGAAACTAGAGAGTGTCAACATTTCAATGTAACCTCTGCTTCTTATATACTCATTTATTTCCGGTGAAACATTGTTAAATGAAGGTTGCTGGAAAGTGACTCCCATTGATTAATGTGAATGGAAGTTTGTCCTCTTGATCAAGAACTTTCTGAAACAGCTTTTAGTTCAATTAAAACTCGTATGGCTGAAAGCCTTCGTATTGTATGAAGTAGTGTTCACTTGGGAAAAACCAATCAGTGCAATGTGCTTTCAAATGAAAATATCTTACCTTTCGCCTTGCCATGCCCACAGCTCTAAAAGGGCACCACGGCAGTGAGTCACACCATTAAAGCATTTCAATATAAGAGACGAAGCACCTGAATGTCCCAGCTTGTGAGGTGCCATGCCATCGTGTTGGTCTATCGTAAGTGGGTGCAATGCACCTTGCCAATCGAGTAAACCCCCCTATTCTCCGCCGGTTCATATTATGCATATCGAAAGGTAAACCTTCGTCATTACTGCCTAAAATAATATATTTGACTCAACAGCTGTGTCACAATCTCCGTTAAAATTTACCAAAGACCTCTAGTTTGTTTTATCTAAAACCCGATACTCAAACGTGCATTTCTATGGTAAAGACATCGATATGAAACAGGACTTCTTGAAAAATATATCTGCAAAGTGATGGTGCGCTAGTACACTTGTGGTGAGTAAAGGAGTAAACAAATAAAGATTTACCTGCTCACTGCATCCCTCACCCCTCCCCAGGTTTCAGGTTAGTGGAGCTCACACAAGTGTTTTTCACGCAGCGTAGTGTTTCCTCATAATCGTTTCTTTTTTCCTTTGCTCTCAGAGTTTAGTTTTTTTTGTTGTTGTTTCTATTTTCTGCAAAGTATCACACGAAATTTTTTTCTTAATTTATAAAAGTGGGCCTACTTAAAGCCAATGCTACAGATTGGTACGTTCTGTTCTTTAGGTAAGAGCGTAACACATTTCTCGTAAAACTCAATTAAGGACAAACATGTGGCTTGACAAACTAGTGGCTCCATCAAAGCCGCTATTTGTGAAATTGTTAACGACGTAAAATAAGGAGTGCACGCTAATTCCACGACTAGACAACTCAGCTAGAAATTCAATATTCGGCACCTTGTAGCAAAGATGACACTAATAATAAAATCCTTTCCCATGGGCTGGCAATGTTGCGTCCAGATACATATGAGAAATGCATAGCATGTTTTATTTCCTCTGCCCTTTCACTCTTAAAATTGAAGCATGGAAACCAGGTCCAGACTAGCAATAAATGCTGATGTATAGCTATGGTTGCTTTATCCCCGTTCTATTGTTTTGTTGTATCTGCCGCTCAAGACCGCCTGGTGTAGTGATAAAGAACGTAGTCACAGAAGTGTGAAAACAGATATTGTTGGACGATAATTGTTAAGTTATATCACTGTGGACGTTGATACGTGTTAAAACATTCCCTTCACTGTGAAGCCCTGATCAAACAATATCATTCGCATGGGAAGGTTTGGTCGCCCGGTTATGGAGAAGCTGCAACAGCGTGCCCGTGTTTTAGGCCTACCATTGACCTATCCTACGTAATCTAAGTATTAAAGCTCTAGTTAACGCCAGCTGTGGGCCCACCAGCCGACTGCGCAATCGACTGCACAACAGTACATTCCAGCAAAACCTGTACTCTCCTAGGTTAAATAAAACGATAGCGTTAACGAGCCATTGTAGCAGAAAGTCTGGAATCGGTGTTAGCGGAGTCGTTCGTAAGTGAACAATTGCGACGAATGCAGAGAATAAAGGGAAGTGAACGGTTTGATCATGAATGAAACTCCCGCGCGACAGTCAGCTGTTCTACGCGTATACCCCAGAGCTACGCCAGTGCTATAGATTGCTTTGGAGAAAAAAAAAAGGAGTAAAAACCGTGAAAAGTCCTATGCAGTCAACTTGTAGAGTGAGCAGTCGCGTTGGCATATGAAATACTACCTGGCTTCAACCAGGCCTTCAAACCTTTCACGTAAGAAAAGTGCGTTTAAGGTATTTTATCACACCGCAGTAGATTATGATATGATGTTGATTAAAAGACAATGACTCAAAACATCTTTAACAAAAAAAACTACCTATAATTGAGGTCACATGTGTATGATAAAAACCTGAACGATGTATATCAGCAAAAATACGATACCGCATACTGCGCTATGCATGCTCAGAACCACGTTTTGCATACGCCTTTCTGGAATTCATATCACCGCATTTTTTTTCTTTTTTATTAAACAAATACGCCATCCTTAAAGAAGAGGAATAGCTGGTTAATATTGTAGGCTGTTTTCGCATACAGCAGCACATTTATTACCGAGTACCGAGGCTTGTGCAGTGTGCCACTAGCGAGATGACATGCCTTGAAGCGTTCGAGCTTTCCTCTGTCTGTAGGAAATGTTTCTCAGATGAGCCACTCAGTCGATTGGCTCGACATTCTCGAGTCATTTAATAACCGCAAAGATTGCACCGAGGGTAGTATATGCAAATATTCAGAGAATTTGCACGATTAGTTTTGCGGATAGCAAATATAACTTGCCGGCAACTTTGGCTGGCTAAACTGGTGGCCAGCTGTTGACAGCTCCGAGACGGAGCAAGAAAAGTATCAGGAAGAGTGGTTAGAGTATTACCTGCACTGTTTATTAGCAAATGCCACGTCATATTTTTATAATAGAACGTCCTCAATGACATATCTGGTTTCGTTTTTGTTGACGCCTGCGTTATCTAAGCGCAAATGTTTTTCGTTGACTGGCACCGATAATCAGGCCACGAACGTTCTATACCTTCCGCAGGGAGCGCGACTGGACAGCGGCAATGATCCTGCCGATAACCGCGCTACGGCTCGCGGTCGCAGCCGCCGTGGAGAACGTCACCACTCCATTGCCGGGAGACTTTCCCGATGGCGACGTGATTATCTGGCGGCGAAGCGACGAGGGCTCCGATAACTCGACCTGGCTGCCACCTCCACTTCCGTCGTCATTTATTCCGGACAAACCGGACCCTGGCTTCACACCGGACTATAACACGCGAATAAGGCTGCCCCAGAACTCGACCGATGTGCTCACCGTCGCGGATATCGCCGAAATCGAGAGCATGCTCGTGAGGCTCAACGAGACAATGAACGACACGTCCTCGTTTGAAGGCGAGACGCCTACTGAGGTAAGTTGGGGATTAACGTGGTGTGTTTTAGGGCTTGCTCTTTTCGGGCAATTTGATGAGAGCTTGATTCCAAAACTGACATTGACTTAGTAGATACTTGCGTTGGGTGCACAAAAATCGGCGCGGCTGCACAACAAGTGTCCAGTGAGCGGCACTTATTTATTTTGGCGCAATATAAAGGGAGACGTTTCAGGCACGCTAACATTAGTTGAGAAGGCTGAAACACGATGCGCATATCTGTGTATGACACAAACACACACATACAAACACATACACGTCAAGTAAAAGGGCTTGTTGTTATCAGACAAGGGATTCATCAGAAAAACAAGTGAATGTAAACGATTGGTTGATATGTGGGGTTAAACATCCCAAAACCACCATATGGTTAAAAGAGACCCCGTATTGGAGGGCTCGTGAAATTTCTACCACCTAGGGTTCTTTAACGTGCACCAAGATCTTAGAACGCGGGGATGTAAATCAAGGACTCTGCGAACCCTGCCTTCGATTATCGCCTGTCTTTGTCAGGTGAAATGTTTTTGAAGCCATATAAACGGGCAAATAGCACCGACAAGGTGTTTAGCCTTTTCAGCACGTGCAATAAGTTACACGGATCTCTTATCATGAAAGGTAGCATATAGTTGCAAATATAACGGAGCGCCATCAGTTCTGTCCTAAATATTCGAGGGATTTTCACTAGAGCTTTATACTTTCTACGTGCTGTAACCACTTTGTTAACGAATCCCAGGTGATTGAAATTTCCGGAGCCCTCCGCTACGGCGTCTCTCATAATTATATAGTGGCTTTAGGACATTAAACCCCACATATCAATCATCATGTAACCACTTTGAATTTTCATGATTTAATAGTAGGTCTGCCGAAAGTGTTTACTGAATGTTTCAATCAGAAGGTCACTGTTATTACGAACCTTTTGTTTGAGAGTTCAGAATTAGAGAAACGCCAACCACAGTCACATGAATGCTAGTGTCTCACTACTTTGAGATTGACGTTGCATTTGAAATACTACGCTGTAATATTTTTATAACGCCTGCCTTATATACATATAGGCATGCGTTATTAATACATAGCGTTGTCTTGTTTGTACTAGTATGTGTGTATAAACAGTTGGTTGACAAATTACATTGCTTCGTTTTGTGTGCTCATGAGACGTAAACGTGCACTCGTGCAGGGAGCACTTGTACGTTTGTTTGTGTTGATTTACTGGGTGCATCTATATATTAAGAAAATTGTGATGAAAATAAAAAAATCGCGTTGTCTTCTCGCTTCTATTTCAAGTAGTTACGCAAGCACTTTTCCTTTCCTTATCTTTTGCAAAGCGGACAGTGTACCCAGACAAAGGAAGATTGCATGAATAAACACACGAACTCTGACTGTATGCCGCTATCCTTCGTTCGACAAGTGAGCCTACACTGGTTATCGTGGAGCTGCATCACGAAAGCTTGAAGGCTGTTATGTTTTGTGTCGTTTTAAGACAAGGTGTTCGTTAATTGAAAGTGTGGCTGGTTGGGTCAGTCAGTTTTTTGTGTCTCGTATTTTTTTATTGGCCAGAGTTATTACGTAGCCGTCTCGACAGTAAAAACAATCAGTCAGAAAAGACCATTCATGTTTGTTGTTATATACAGTTCTCATTTACTACTTTGTGACAAGCGTTCATGCAAGGTGATCGTTCTTACTGTATTATTAGTATAGAGCAAAAAACCCCCCAAGGTTGATTTTTCGTTTTAAAAATGAGTAAAAACGAAGGAAAAAAGCAAAACATGTCCTTACAGAAGTAGTTAAATGTTTATTGTGATTTAATATAAAAGAGCTAGCACAATATATGTTTGTGTTAGGCAGCTTTGGTCTCGTTTAATGTGGATGCACTGACATCGACGCTTAATGGCTCACCTCCAGCTCTATGACTGGCATGCATGATGAACGAGTAAACCTCTGTGGTAGATATAGCAATTTATTTATTTTATTTATTTATTTATTTTCAGATTTACTGCCAGCCTTTAAAAAAGGCCTTTGGCAGGAGCGGGCAGAACAAATAAAAGAATGCGAGAACATACGCAAATACGTCCACAAAACAACCGCAACAATGAGCGGGAACAAAATAAAAACAAAAAATATACAATTACGCAATCAACAAAGTGACAGCAGGTACTTTTAACAACTTGTTTGGTACCAAGCCAGACCTACACTGATAAAAACTATTAATAATATACAAGACATGACTGGAAAGAGCAGGAGAAATCTGGACCGAGGTGCACCGCTAAACAAAACAGAGCTACAATGTGACACACTCAACATCAACAACAAAAAAGAAAAAAAAACATCAGAACAACATTATTGTTTCACAATCGCATATCAGTTTGCAGAAGTCGCGATATAGGAAAGCGGAGTGACGATCAAGATACCGAAAAAATTACAGATAATCTGACAATGCTTTAGCAAAAGAATTTAGTGTATTACAATCAATTACATTGGATGGAAGTCGATTCCATTCACGCGTTGTTCTCGGAAAAAAGGAGTTTTTCAATGTGTCTGCTTTACAGCTAAAATCCTTTATCTTTTTCTTGTGGTGTGATCGCGTCGAGCGCTTACCAACCAGGTCGATAAAATTACTCTTGTCTATTGCCAGCTTATCATGATAAAGGGAGTACAAAAACTTGAGCCGTTCAAGCTGACGTCTCTTTTGCAATGTATCCAGCTCTGATTCTTCCAAGATTGAAGTTACAGATACTTGCCAGCGATAGCAATTATGAACAAACCTGATGCCCTTCCTTTGAACGAGTTCTAGTTTATCAATGTTGTTTTTTGTGTACGGATCCCATATAACTGATGCATATTCGAGGGAGGGCCTAATGAAAGTTTTGTAAGCCAGTAACTTTATTTCCTTGGTTGATTTTCGCAATGACCTTCGAAGGTATCCAAGTTTACGCATGGCTTTATTTGTAATATACGAAATATGTTCATTCCATCTAAGGTCCGAGGTAATAATTACGCCTAAATATTTGTACCTTTCTACAACGGAAAGAGTGTGATTATCTATGGAATATGGAAAGCTTAGGGGATGCTGTTTACGCGTTATTGACATGGCTACCGTTTTAGCCTTGTTAACACTCATTTGCCACGTTGAACACCAAGTTTGTATTTTCGCTAAAGAAGAATTCAAAAGAACTTGGTCGCAGCGGCTTTGAACTTCATGATAGAGGATGCAGTCATCTGCGAATAGTCTAATTTTTACTGGTATATCCTGTACTATGTCATTAATGAACACAAGAAAGAAAAGTGGCCCAAGCACCGAACCTTGAGGTATACCGGATATAACTGTCTCTGCTGGAGAGCACGTACCATCAATTGTTACACATTGTCGTCTTAAATTTAAGTAATTTTTTATCCATGACAGAAGTGTATCGTTCTTCAGTATGGGTTGAAGTTTTAAGAGCAGCTTTTGGTGCGACACGCGATCGTACGCTTTTTCAAAATCTAGAAAAATAATATCTGTTTGACCTTGCCTGTCAAGGGTTTTGGCGAGTTCATGTACTGTTTCTAATAGTTGTGTTACGGTAGATAGACCTTTTCGGAAGCCGTGTTGCCTGGGGTCAATAAGTTTGTTTTCTTCTAGAAATGTTGATAAGTGCTTGAACATAATATGTTCCAATATTTTTGCACTTGTACACAAGAGGGTGATAGGTCTATATGAAGTAACCAAATGTGGAGTGTTTGATTTAGGTATAGGCGTAATTTTACCGTATTTCCAGTCTTCTGGGATCTTAGATTGGGATAAGGATTTGTTAAATATAAGATGCAGATAATGTGAGCTCCATTCAGCGTACCTCACCAAGAAGTGGTTATCAATACAGTCTATTCCGGGTGTTTTTTTACGATCAATTTGAAGCAAAAGAGAAAGGACACCTTCCTGGGATATCGAAATGTTGCTTATTGGGGGAATGTTCTCGAACTGGTTGACTGAAGGTGTAATTGTGTCATCTTTCGTGAATACTGAACAGAAGAATTCGTTAAAGGACGTTGCAATGGTGAGTCGGTCAGTGACGGTTTCCCCGTTAACTACAATGTTAGAAATTGACTTCTTATTTGGGGAAAAATAGCGCCAAAATTTTTCAGGAGACGAGAGAAGAAAATTTTTCATAGTTACTTTGTGGTAAAATTCTTTAGCCTTTTTAATGCTTTCTTGAAGGCGTTTGCGCATTGACACAAGTTTTTCACTGTTAGCTAGTGATGGAGACTTGCGATGCTGTTTTCTTAATTTTTTTGTCTTTCGTCCCATACGCACTATTTCTCTTGTAATCCATGGATTAACCCTATGGCTGAAAATTTCTCTGAAGGGCACAAATTGTTCAATGCACGACAAAACAAGTGATTTAAAAAAGTGCCACAAGTCTTCGACAGAGCAATCATTTGACTCGTAAAGGGAACAGAATGTTGGAAACGACATGTCTAGAGCGTCAATAATGTCCACATCTTGAGCACGTGAAAAAACTGGAACCGACCGTCGGTATTTCTCTGTTTTGATGATACGATTTCCAGGGATCGACAAGAAAACCATTTTATGATCTGAAATTCCTTCCATTACTTGTACATCAACGTTTCGACTTGCAATACTCTGGCTAACAATAAAGAGATCCAAGAGTGAGCTCTTGTCTTTCTGAATGCGCGTGGGTTGTTTGACTAATTGCGTTAAATTATGAAAGAGCATAAGGTCCACAATGGGTTCCGCCGCACAGACGAGTGGCTGCGGAAAATCACCGGACCAGTCGATGGACGGAACATTAAAGTCTCCAGCTATCAACACATTGCTTGTGTCACATCTGCTAGAACACAGGAATTCATTCAGCTTTTCGAAGAATGTGTGATCACTATTTGGGGGGCGATAGAATGCGCCTACAGACAAATTTAGGTCGTGTAAATAGAGTTTGATAATAACACATTCAACGCCCGGTATATCGGTTTGCCTTATCACTTGCAATGACTGTTTTACCATAATAGCAACGCCACCACCACGCGTGTCTCTATCTTTTCGATAAATCTTGTAGCCAGGTGGTGTAACTTCTTCATCGCTTATATCATAATTTAACCACGTTTCGGTGATTATCAGGATGTGAGGGCGATGGGTCATTACAATACTCTCCAAGTGTTCAAGTTTATTCATGACGCTACGAGCATTTAGGTTCAGGCATATGAGGGGTTTGCCATCTTCAATTTTATTTCATTTTTTGCGTACTTGGCTACCCCCGCCCTTCTTTAGGGGAATTCTTTTGATTTCTTGGCTACCCCGGCCCTTCTTTACGGGAATTCTTTTGTTTTCAGTGTTATTCCATTCGAACAGCTCGCCATCAATTTTAATTTTGTCGTATTTCATTGTAACCTTTCCGCCTGCCTTTCTAATTTCAGAAGTGCTTTCCCACAGTTTTTTTCGTTTTTCTCTTGTGACTAGGGAAAAATCTTCGGAAACTGATATATCAGTACCTTTAAGCTTAAAGCAGTTAGCCAGCACTTCCTCTTTTTCGCGGTAATCAAACAATTTTAATATGACCGGTCGGTTTTTGTTTGTTTGCTTGCGCCCAAGTCTGTGCATTCGTTCTATTGATCTCAGCTGTACGCCAAGCACATCCTTAACCACACCTTTAACAACAGCATTAGCAAGGGCATCCGCGGTTTCCTTTTCATCCTCAGGTATACCGAACACAATAATATTATTGCGCCTACTGCGGTCTTCTAAGTTAATCACTTTGTGTTCCAAATATTGGACAGTTTTTTCCAGGCTTGACAATTTCACATTTACTTCTTTAATGTCCGAGGCCACAGCTTCTACCTGCTTTAATTTTGTTTCTATCGCCTCAAGCCTAGTTTGAATGTTCCTCTGGCCAGTGAGGAGCTCATCAAGAAGTTCCTCAACCGTAGGGCCTGGGTTGGACTCGATGTCCCCACATAGCATCAGTAAAGACACTACAAAATTCCGAATGACCAAACAAGCCAAAAAGACACTTTGTGGGCACGTCAGCTGAATCAAACAACGATTACTGGTTTTGACAGAATAATACTTGTTACTGACCTGTACAAAAAAGAGAAACGGATTTGGCATGTTGCTCACAGGCCAGCCGACGTGCCCACTGAAGTGGTAGGATGGGGACGGTCTTCTTATATGCTGCTCCGTTGATGTCGATCGCCCAGGGGGCGGTGTCCACCAGCGGTTGTCGGCGAAAGTCGGTCCATGTGCGCATGCGTCTTCAGTCTTCGCTGCCGCGATGACTAAACGTAGTGCATCTTGCTGTGCGCCGGCCTCCGATGATATGCCGAGCAGCAGGAACTGTACAAAAAAGAGAAACGGATTTGGCATGTTGCTCACAGGCCAGCCGACGTGCCCACTGAAGTGGTAGGATGGGGACGGTCTTCTTATATGCTGCTCCGTTGATGTCGATCGCCCAGGGGGCGGTGTCCACCAGCGGTTGTCGGCGAAAGTCGTTCCATGTGCGCATGCGTCTTCTGTCTTCGCTGCCGCGATGACTAAACGTAGTGCATCTTGCTGTGCGCCGGCCTCCGATGATATGCCGAGCAGCAGGAACTGTACAAAAAAGAGAAACGGATTTGGCATGTTGCTCACAGGCCAGCCGACGTGCCCACACACGAACTCTGACTGTATGCCGCTATCCTTCGTTCGACAAGTGAGCCTACACTGGTTATCGTGGAGCTGCATCACGAAAGCTTGAAGGCTGTTATGTTTTGTGTCGTTTTAAGACAAGGTGTTCGTTAATTGAAAGTGTGGCTGGTTGGGTCAAAAATTAACGGTGAGAGCGTGATCAGAGAACGCGGTCGACAGCCAGAGGAGCGTCGCTGATTGAGCGCATAACTTGGGCTAAGCTTGCCGCCCCGCGGCATGTGAAATAGTTAACAAAAAGAAATTACACGCCAGCCGGGCTCGAAGGAAACGCATTGCGCTACGTGTCGTTCGTCTAGCCCAGCCAAGATATCTCTCGGGGCGAGCTAAGCGGGAACACGATGCTACAGCCCGGCGCGTGCCACAGGTGAGGCAGCTGAGCGTTGTAGAGCTATATTTATCTGGATGGATTCTATAAGCGAGGCCATGGCTTTGGCTGATGTTGCCCCCTCGCAGTGTGTTAGGGCGTTGATAAATGTGTGCTTCTCTTATTGCAAATGGTGCCCCGCCGCGGTGGTCTAGTGGCTTAGGTACTCGGCTGCTGACCCGCAGGTCGCGGGATCGAATCCCGGCTGCGGCGGCTGCATTTCCTATGGAGGCGGAAATGTTGTAGGCCCGTGTGCTCAGATTTGGGCGCACGTTAAAGAACCCCAGGTGGTCGAAATTTCCGGAGCCCTCCACTACGGCGTCTCTCATAATCATATGGTGGTTTTGGGACGTTAAACCCCACATATCAATCAATTATTGCAAATGCGCCTAATGGCATGGACGTATAGCAGCGGAGCATTGCTGGAGTTGATCGTGGAGGCCAGGGTCATGATTTCTAACTTCCCTTAACAGCTCCCACACGACGACACCGCACCATCGACCAAGAGTACTTTGAGAGAAAAGGGTGAGATAAGAAAGGCGCAGTTTTGAAGCCTCCTGAAAGGGTGTGGTGCAGTAGATGGCACGCCCAGTATGTGTTGTTGTGGAGCGAAAGGTCGTGGGCTCGCCTGCTACTTACGAGAATTTTTATTTTAAGATTTTTAGATGCGGAGCATCTTATACTCGCGCCTTGTAGTGCGCCGTCCGCACCGCTTCTCGAACATTCGACAGCTGACGCGCGCGCATGCGCCGTCGCGCCGTCGCCCACTCTTCCACCATCTGTGCATCCCTTCCTCCTCTACACACCGCGCGCGCTTCACTCCTCCACCATCTGTGCACTCTTCCTCCTCTACACACCGCGTTCGACATCTACAATTCTCCTGATTCTCCAGTGGACGCGCATGTGGCGTCGCGCTTCGAGAACATTCAACAGCCGACAGTGCATGCGCCGTCGTGCTGTATATATACTCAAGGTCGGCGCTCGCTCGCTCAGTTGCCGCTCGTCGGTTGGTTTGTACGGCGCGTCGACGTCCAAGGTCGCGGTGAAATGAATTCCAACGAATCCACAAACACAATGATCGACGTCCCTTCGACCAGCGCCGCCCTTTCGCATACGTGTGTACGTGTTCACTCATTTAACACCCCCTCCTACAACCACGTTAACCAATTTAGCCATCGACCCAAGTAAGTCGCAATTTAACACCCCATTTCACAACCACGTTAACCAATTTAGCCATCGACCCAAGTAAGTCGCACTTTAACACCCCGTTAACCAATTATATGGTCCGCATCCTCCTCAGTGTTCCCCCGAGGGAAGCTGCGGGCAATTTTTTTTCGATATCTGATCCCGCGCAATTTTTTGACGCCATTTTCGGGCAAAAATTATGCACTACACTCTTGGTGGACTCCGGCATAAAATATTCTTCTGCTAAAAAAAACAGTTATTGTACTTTCATCAGGGGCGCCATATTTGTGTAAGTGTTATATTCCCCCAGAAGAAACTGAGAAAGTGGTGAAAAAAAGCGTAAAAACGGGGGCGGCTGCTTTAGAAAAAAATTCTTTAAAGAGCATGTGTACCATTTGTCTTGTTCTTGAGAATCGGCGCTATGAATCCTCTTTGACGGCCACATCACACACATTTTCACTAAAAGTAGTACCGCATACAAACGAACAGTTGTTGAGATTGCTATTGAGCAGAACGATTGTATGTGCTAGAGAAAGTTGTCCCTGTTTTACTTCGAAGTCAAACCCACAAAAGGTGGCTTATATATAGCGTTTCCCATTTCGTTCATTCAAATCCTCGAGTTGATTGGTAATCATTATTTAAACACAAGGGGATCATGGCCAGGAGTTATGAATTGGTGCCATTTTGCCTTGCTTTTGCACATTAAGTCTATCAAACATTCGTATACTACGATGTTTTTTTTTCCGAATTGCAGCGCGTCCGACGCTCCATCGGCGACGAAGACGAACAGGACGACGACGACGACGACAATAACGTCTCGCCGTCCAAATCAGACGCAACCTCAGGGCTTACCGCTGAGGGCGAGTCTGTCCCTGGCTACTCGGAGGATGCTCAAATGCGGCCAGCGCCGCAGATGGACGACCAAACCTCGGAATTCTTCAGCAAATTCCTCAGTCTCAAGTCGGGTGACCGTGTGGAAAAAACTCACGAAGATCTCGTTGAGCCGAGCAGCCTGTTGCAAAAGGATGAAGATGGCGATGAGCAGGTAGAAAGTGTCTACTATAATTTTTTTCTTTTTGCTTTAAACCTTAGAGTTATTTTTAAAACTATCAATTTCTAAACATATGTAAAATTTAAATAACGTTTCTTTACCAAAGAACCACCCGTTTCATGGCTAATCTTCCACGGTGATTTCTTGCAGTTTACGAGTGGTCAGCTAATCAACTGACCAACCAACTGACTGATTCATGGCTGTAGTACCCCCCCCCCCCTTGCTCTGATCTATATGGCCTGACCAACCACAAACAAACCAAGCAAACAATGGAATGAATAATAATGAGAAATTACAACGCATGAGCAGATGCCGTTTTAAATTAAGGTTTATGTTGTTGCAGAATATGAGAACCATGGTCTATGCCCTCTTATTTACTTACACGAAAAAGACTACAAAAATAAAGGCACGTGCATGTACGCACAAACATAAGCTCCCAAACGCGCGCATGCGCAGACGCACACACAATTGTAAATCATTACATATATGTTCTATGCCAATGTCAATGGAAAAATGCTGATACAAAAGAAATGCTTTTTAAATGTGGCTTTATAAAACCACGCACATTTCTGAGCGCACGTATTCCACACAGGCCTGTTTGACGCTTACCTCAAAACTGTTGAAATGTTTTAAGACAGTGTCAGCATAGAAACGTTGAGAGAAAAAAAAAATGATAGATCTACTGATTATGTCCATAAGTGGCACCAGCATCTTCCAAAGCAGCCTTGTTCACCACCGTGAAAGCTAAGATTTCGTCCTTTCTCAATTAATAAAAAATATTGAAAACACTAAATATTCATTTAGAAAATATATAATAAACTAGGTAAGTAGCTGGGCGAGTTTTGTTTTGTTAATCTTAACTCAGATATATGTACCAACAAAGAAACGACACACATGAGTGCTGCGTGTCATAATTAGTTTTTGTCGTAGTTATTTCTCAATAATTTGGCGACAAGAGTCAAAATTATTCACTATACGGTCAACATTCGTCTTCTGTTATACCCGTTATAAGTAGCTTCAAGGGCGTATTTGACACAATTCGAAGTAAACGTTCCTACCTATCACTGACGCGTAATAAAAGCCACATTATGATGTCTTTATTTTTATTTTTGCTAGCATTCTACTGGAGCACTCTTTTCAAAGCAAACTCAATGACAATGTATAATTGTTTCGAATTGAGAGTGGTGAAAAGCTTCAGATCATTCTACGAAGTTTTTCATATTCGCAACTAGCCTTCAGTGCAAATGTACAACTGCCACTAAGTTTATCGCTAATGCCATTAGATTTATTCGAACAAGATTTGTTAGAGTTCCTTTCTTTCATCTTTTTTTTCTTTTTCTGCTTTCCAGGCTTCTCTTTTGCACGGGCATAACAAAGTCATGGAAAATTTAGCTTGCGTTTGTTGAGCACTGTTGACGAAAAACAAACAAAAAACAGCAGACTACTTTGAGACCAAGTAGTGCAGTGTGATTAGCTTTACATGACTTATAAGGTCACCTGCGACCTGTATAAGAAGTGCAATGTCAATGAGAAAACGCATAAAGTATGCGTGAGGTATACAGTGAAACTTAAAGCATTGAATATAATTTTCTATCGAATGACATGAGCCTAGTTTCAGAAAAAATGTTTACAACCTAGTAATAATTACTACGAATGCATGTGGCCATCTTATAAGTCCTACTGTATTACGCTTGAACGCTTTAAGCATAATTTTTGGTTACTTACTGGCATAACTCTACACTAATTTATTACATTAGTGTTCACTCTGAAGAAATTCTAGGCTAGCAGATTTTCTTAGCTTTAATTTTACGTGTAAGAGTTTTAACGCTTTGATAGCTGGGCTTAATAAAATACAGAAGAAAATACTAATTATTTCTCGCGAAAAACTTTAAAACACATGTGGCTATGATGCCGTGCAGTCATTGAAAAAAAAAGAAAATCTAATCAGTTTTTATTACTACATTGTTTTTGAGCATTTTTTTGCGGTATTCGCATATTGAGCTCTCTCCTAATTGACAGTGATAGGTAACAGATGCTGTGTCTTTCTCCTTATGTGACCTGCGTTGAGTCCAATAAAACAAACTAAATGGTAACCTTAGTTTCATTTCCGTTGCTGTTATGTTGTTTAATAGTGGTATCTGCTATGAGTTTTTGAGACGTTTCTTACTCCACGAAGAAAATGCTTGTGGCTATTAAAAAAAAGAAAGACAAAAAGTATCTAATTAGAGAAAGTTTCAGTCGCCATGTCACAGCAGAAGGTGAATTACAGTAGTGCGATCCATCGCTCTTTGCCCCTCACAGTTATTTCAGTGGGCATTCCCTATTATTCTCCTAGAGTGCTCAACAAAGGAGTACTGTCTCTAAACATGCCATAAAGATTGATGTTTCTTAACCTGCTCCGCCTTATTATAGAACAAGTTTTAAAAAATAAACAACACGTTCTATTCTACTGTCATAGGAAACAGGGAAACACGGAAGTAAAATATGCCCTTAGAAAAGTATTTTAATTACATTCATGTAAGAGAGCTCGCAGAATGTCCATTGGTCAGCTACAGCTCGTTTAACGGTGATGCATCTATGCTGATGTTTAGTCATGCATCTACATTCCGACGACTATCGTTTATCATTAATCGTAGATCGCTCGGCTATAAGGTCGTAGATCCTTGTAGCCTTGGTCGTAGATCCATTGCCTGACCACGAGGAATCGCAAGGTGCTTAGTGCCTTCCCTTTGTCCGGCGACAATTATTCGCGGGGCGAGCGTCAGTGGGTAACGTGCAGCAACAACCAGGCGAAACAGATGCGTTCCAGATGTTGTATAACTATGTTTATTACGAATGAATGCTAAATGAGCGAAGCCGAAGCAACTGGCATTCTCGCCACCGGGGAGTGTACTAAGGCGTTAAAAAAATTTACTTCTGCTATTGCAAACGTGCCGAATGAGACGGATGATAAGAATCGACACGTTAAAGGAGCTGATTGCAGATTCCACTGCCATGGTGCATTACTTCTATTTACTAAGAACGCTGTGAGAAGACAGTGGTAGATATAAAAGGCATATTTTTTAAAGCGTACAAAGCATGTGAGCATGGCAAAGTGGATAGTGCGCGCGACATCTGTTATCATGGACTTAGAGCTCATGGGTCCCCCTATCTTTAACGGAACTCATTTATTTTGTCTTCTGATTGTGTGTAGTTTTCACTTCCTTCCCGTTAAGGAATCACGTCACTGAAATCTTGGTGAACCGCGTCAGTAAACACTATCGAGTTAAAAAGACACGCATTTAGTTCATTAGGTTGAGAAAGTCATTATGACGAAATCTTGACGTACTTTTTGCACTTACGTAAATTTTTGGCTGCACATCGCAGCAGTACGAGCAGGAAGTGCACTAGGTGATTTAGTAAGCTGACATGTTTGCAATAGCACAAATTCAAGTAAGTATAAGTGATCGGCTTAGACTAAAGCGTTGTGCTGAATACATCTGCAAATACTTTCTTTTTTCTCAGGTTAGAGACCGTCGCCAGGCCATGGCCACTTCTTCAATAACGTCCGCAAGTAATGACGTCGTTTCAACTACAGCGCCCTCTCAGAAGCCTACCACCGTTGCACCTTCGGAACAACAATCTCCTGTCGTTGCCGAGGCAACCACTGTAGTGCCTCTGGAGGAAACCACTCTCGTGGTTACCGAGCCAACCACAATAGCAGCTTCGGAACCAACAACTTTAAAAATTCCCCAAACAAGCAGTGAAATACCCTCACCATCACCTCTGCCTACTGAAAACATTGAAGAGAAACAAGAAGAAAAAACTCCTGGTCTGCCGACCACTCCACCTGAAGTCTCTACTGAACAGCCTGTCCCGGAAATCCTTTCGTTCCCATTCCAACCGAGTGATTTCTTCTCGCAAGGATTCCATCCCCCAGGTTTCTTTCCTCAGGGATTCTTTCCTCAATACCCCCAAAGTGGCTACCCCCAGTATCCTCAGAATGCTAACCCGCAATACCAGCAAGGTGGCTATCCCCAGTACAACCAGAATGCTAACCCGCAATATCAGCAAGGTGGCTACCCCCAGTACTCTCAGAGTGCTTACCCGCAATACCCCCCAGGTGCCTATCCCCAGTACCCTCAAGGCGCTTACCCGCAATACCCCCAGTACTCCCAAAACCAGAGAGGCTTCTACCCACCCCCAAGTGGCATCATAGATCCCGGCTTTGCGCCAGACCCAAACCGTCAACTACTGCAAAGAGCTCATGAAGAACAACGACGGAAAGGCCTTAGACAACCGGAGAGTCATGTTCCAAACAGTCACTGGCAGGGCTATCCTGGTGGTTCTGGAATAATCGACCCAGGATTCGCTCCCCGGCCTATCGACCCACTGCTGCAACGAGACCTTGATCTGCAGAGAGAGAATGGTGGTAGGCAAGTACTTGGCGGGCAGCAAGAGAATAAAATGACTCCGGAGCTTAATATTGTTCACGCAGACGGTAGCACTCAAGGGTATCCTCCAAACGCGCCATTCCGTGGCCAAGGAGCAGAGGCGCCACGTATGGACGACACTCTCATTCAACAGACACAAGGTCAAGCAAGACAGGACCAAGAACAGCTGAGGCCATCAGCTTCACAAGCCGAAACCGGCAATTCGGCAGAGACCCTTACCCCTTCTGATTCGGCTGTGCCCGAGAGTAACCGTGAGTAGAGAGTGGGCACATAAAGCGAGGCGCCATTGTTGCCTGAATCACAGGTGTGTAATAATTTGGAACCGTACCAATAATAAAGCTTGGTCGAAAAAAATCTGTGCTCTCGACAACAGCGGCTGGATGAGACCATTTGTAAATGTTTTTTGACAAATGGAAGTCCTTTACTGTCATTTATTCATCGCAACAGAGTCAATTTATTGCGCGACTTCTCCAGGGGAAAACACCACAACAAGAATTTTCATAACAGAAGTTACATGATAAAGCACTAAATCTTCTATAAAACAATAGCCTCCTTCCTCGTCACAACAGTATGATTAACACTCTAAATGATATCCCTATAATTGGTCACTACTTCCGAAAAACGTTCTCATGGTTCCATCCAAAAGTTTAATTATGAAGTTATCTTGTAGGGCACAGGTAAACGTAAGGTTTACAATAATGATTCTGCTAAAAAGTGAAAAAAAATTGAAAATAAAACATCCCAAAATATGGATGTTTCGCCAACGATCATACTTGCGAAATGGTTGGTGCGATTCAAACGTGACTTGGCATGTATAGAATGAGAACACTACCCTGTGCATCAAACCTTCACGATCACCACATCTCTGAGCAATGGCACGTTATTGCAAAAGACTGAAAATGTTGTAGTTAGGCATTGTCGTTTTTCACACGATTGGCCAGTGTACAAAATGTTACGGCTCGTTTTCAATAGGTCGGCTTGAATACACAGCTCTACTTGCGAAGGAATAGCAATAAAGTTTCATAGGAAAATATTGATGAAGGAAAGAGGTATCACTGTCCGCGTGAGTGTAGGATGCAAAAAGTGTTTGAGGAAAACGCCTTTAAAGATTTGCATGGAATGTTCAGATTATAAAAATCTGTAAATATCTTTGAAATTCACCAGGATCATTGCTTCGGACATACATTGAAGGGTTAGAAACTCCTTTCAAGCGAGCTGAAACATATACTTTCATTCTATCTCGTGTTGCGTCTCCAGCTGACACTCATTGACGTGCGTCAGATCAGGTCCAAGCTTGATAAATAATTTTATACCTTGCGTTTGTGCTTCTTTTTAGGGGCAAATTTCCTCTTAGTGTAACCTTGTCATACGTCATGCGTAACCGAGAGAAGAGACGAAAAAGGAAAGAAGGCGGTACCTCCAGAACAGTACAATAGACGACGCTGTCTGATAGAAATACATACAAACTGCAGTCGAGCGAGGACATTCTAGATGGTGCTGTACCGCTACTCTCCGATTGGCTGCTGCGTGGGTTGTGTCTGGGTACGCGGAGAACGAGGGCCTCTCTCAGTCTCCTGGATAGTCACCGTACGCGGCGGATCGTTGGTAGGGCATGGACTAAGCGGAGAGGGATGTGCATTGAAGACGCTTGCGTTCGGCTTCCTTGGCTCGCGTCTCGTCGGTGTTACCCGCACACAGTCTACGTTCGCGAATGTGGTCGGACGCATGTACGCATGCATGGACGGATGGACATAAGGACGAATGAACGGATGGAAGCTTCGCCCCACTCATCATCATTATTTCCGCAGATGTGCTGTGATTTTTTTACTGTAAATTGCCATATTTCGCGGAATACTATAACTTTCTACCCTAAAGGCCACAACTAATTCCAAGAGGTGGAAGGTAGTAAATCAAAAACCCCAGATAGCCGAGCAAAAAGGAGCCCGGCTTTGACAGCAGTGCCGTATACATGTAGTAGACATTTTCTGATAAATTGAAAACGTCATGTCCCAAAATATCTGGAGTTTAGTTAGACAACTTAGCATTAATTAATATGCCTAAAAACACTCATGACAATATTGAAGGCATTGTGCAATCAAAAACCTTCACTTTTGGTTTCGAGAGCATCCAAAGGAGCGGGGCGGGAAAATAATCATAACTTTTGAAGGGCTCAGGATAATTTCATAATTTTCTTCCTAAATATTCTTCAATAGTCAAACATTGCAAAAATTTATTTCATTTACATACACGGATACGCAAGGACACATAGGAAAGAGGGAAAAAACAAGCTTGCAACTGCCACCTGGAGAAGCACAACGCCTGCTCAGACTTTCGGGAGGAGAGGAGAAACGGAGAAAAGGAAGATAAGAGGGGAGAAAGAGGAAACAAGAAAGGGAAGTAAACAAAAAGAACACTTAGGCAAGTATTGGTAAAAATTTTTTAAAAATTCGACCGTAAATGGGCGGCCAGGCCCGTTCGGTCCATAAAAGTAAGTAGAGCTTGATGGACCTGGTCGCGGCGGGAAGCACAATCTCTCGGAAAGAGGTAATCGTATAGGGTCATGCACCTAAGCCCCAGGAATTCGTATTCCTTAATCAGCAAAGCACGCTGCGTAGAATATACGGGACAGTTGTTACGAGCCGCGTCGGTGGCCGCAGCGGACCCAGTAGGTAGCATGGAGCTGGGTGGTGGTCGTCATTCCGCAGGCCACGGGGATGTTCAGAACTCTTGAGAGCTGAGGCAGAGGGACAGGCGTAAAGGAAAACTTAACAAGACGTTTATTTGCAACATGTTGGACAGTAACGTCCGAACGAGGAGTCTTCTCGCGACACTCTCCTGTTTTCTTCTCGCGGGCTGCTCCCCCTGCCTCGCCGGGCAGTTCCGAAGATAGGGGTGGAAAATGACACTTCAGGGAACGAACCACTCATAGAGAGCACAACACAAGTATCCCTTCACACACGTGGCAGATGAAACGTGGCACACGCGCGGGGACTATGAAGCGACCACGCAGGAGAAATTCTTGGCAGTCGCTCCTGTAGCACACAACCGGCCTTCCGCACATTCCAGAGGGGCCCGCCCGTAGCCACTGCCCCGCAGGCGAAGCGCACAGCCGAGACAAATACAGCCGGTGCAGGTGACAACCCGCACCCCACAAAAGAATGTCCGAGATGACGGGAAGGCACGCTTGGGGCAGCCGGCCCAAGGACTTCGCTACTGCTTTGTAACACAGTGCACTATGCGATGCTCAAGTGTTTTGCAGGAGCCATAAGCAGTGCGCAAAGGACTGTCAACACGCCGTTGACGGTGTAATTGTTCACGCACCAGCACAGAGCCCACTCTTAGTTTGTATGACAGCGTTCTAGAACAATGAGGCAAGCCACTGCCACGAACACGGGGAGGGAGTAATACGTTGCAAGACGCTGGTCTGGGTGGTGCTTTAGGAGGTGTCGCCGTATAAGCAGACGAGCGTTGTCCATCGTACATGGAATTCCCAGACAGTCACAACCTTCATGGTTGCAAAACGAGACAAGGCGATCTGCTTCTTTATTGCCTGCAATGCCTATGTGCGAAGGTGTGCACTGTGCAGCTAGGCATACTCCACGTGAGAGAATATTGTTGACGAATTCCATGATACTGCATAAAATAGGGCTGTCCATCTCCTTGCGGGTGAGTGTGCTAAGGACACCATGACAGTCGGTAAGGAGGACAACCTTCGATGATGGTAACCTATCTTGCACGTATTTGGTTTTTGAAAGTGGCGACCTACCTTAAGCTGCGAATGCTTCATACAACTTCAGTTACCTCATAAAATACATAAAACATAATCGATCAAAGAGCTCGCTTCTGCGGAAATTGAAAAGGCATACACGTTGTATGCTACCATTCAGCATTACTTTTACGTTCCAAATCAAATCGAGAAACATACTTTTGTGTCTGAAAACATTTATACATTGTAGTATCAGGCAACCTGGAAAGGCATTGTCACAGGGACAACTTATTGATGGGTAAAACGGAAGGGCGACAATTGTTATTCAGTAGTTCTTATACATTTTTGTATGTCTTTCTGTTAGAATTTACTCGTAAACATATAACAAAGCTTCATTAGGCATCATCACACAGCACAATCGTAAACAATAATATTTTAGAAGAGCAGGGATCAAAAGAGCTTTCACTTAATAATAATTGCCCCGTCATCATACGAATATGTTGTCAGATTTTGTAAGGAAACTGAACTCTCAGTTAAAGCACAGCACGGACCTGTGCCGGCCCGGGTAAAAGATTGTTGAATCGGTCTCAGGCCAAGCTTGCGCCTGTGAGTTTCAGACTCGGGTCGGGCCCGGGCCTGGGTCAGACTAGTTTGAGGCCCGGGGTTCACAGGTATCTGTATAATGACGTGTGTACGCTGTTTTGCTTTATTATTTGAACTTCTGATAAAACGTAATTTGTCGACTGAAAACTTGAAACCTTCTAAAATGAAGCCTACAAAGACAACAGGATATGCCTGATCCTCGTGAAGTGACCTTCCACATGAGCGCTAGAACTGTTGAAAGTTGGCTTGTTCTTAGCCTTCCACCTTTTCTTCCGCACAATAGTCACTGATTTTGCTTTCTGTTACACCTCTCATTCTCTTGCACTGTCGCTGCCGCGAGCGGCAAGCCTGGAATCACAACTGCGGGCCACGGAAAGCGAGACTTCATTCCCGTGTTCGTACAGAAGCCGTCGGTCATCGCTAACTATTTGTCGTTTTTTAGCAGGATTGCGCTCCGGACACCCGAAACGCCCTGTTCGACGGGGAGCGCTGAAGAGTCCACCGGCTGGCTCACTTCAGCGGCCTAATAGACAGTAGTTTTGGAAGCCGTTATTCATTCTTTCTTTAACACACAATACTTATAAACCTTCCAGCACAGAATTTCAAGTAACAGACAGAAATTGTTTTCTTGTTCATTTGGAGTTACTACATTATCAAGAGCGCGAAAATATTTTTTCTCAGTATCCGATCATTGTAGAAGAAAAATGACTCTATGTTTTATATATAGGACACCAGGGCCTAGGGATTGTAGAGTGATATATGGTGAATTTAAATCGATCTGGTTGACTCTGTTAATGCAAGTTATCGTTGTGAAACTTACAAACAGCTACCACGTTTTGGTTGAAGCACCTAAACTGTCTGATAGCTAGTTTTTGCGCTTGTGATTCCTAGCTCCTCAATGCACTTGAATGGCTACGGTCAAATATATTGCACACTTTTGAAGATGCAATGGGGTAAAAGATTGCCGAATCCTGCTTTGCAGCGCCAAAGTTAATTCCATCCTTGTTTGCAAGGGCGAGCTGATTAAGCCGCCCTCCATCGTCGTCTTGTCACTGGCAGTTATTATGTTTATAAAATTAATTAAAATTCATG